GTGTGTGTGTGTGTGTGTGTGTGTATGTGTGTGTGTGTGTATGTGGTGGTTTGCTTGCTGCCCCTCACCGGACCAAGAGGTCAGGGAGACAGTGAGCCCCTGACCTCACTACAACTGATTACTGTGTGTGTGTCTCTCAGTACACCTCTGGAACTACGTTACTACCCTATTGGAAAGTACTAACAATGGCCCTCTTCCATGACTTTGACAGCTATTGAATGCTTTACCTTCGTGTTTGGTGACATTCATTATCCAAGTACAGTATCAGTTCTGCTTCGAGTAGGTGTTACTAATTACGAACCCCCCACCACTCAACACGGCTGTTCTCCGCCGCTTTCGACAAAGATATCGTAGCCTGCTCTTCCCTCCTCCCCCCACTATGGCTGCTAAGCTACAGAAAACAGTTTTATAGAACAATTAGTCGTTTCTGGCAGTGAAAATGGGCGCCTAATTATAAGTGACTCTAATGTGTTAAATTTCCAATTCCGTATCACGTGTATAGACGCTTCAAGGAAATTTGATGGATGAAGTTTTAAAATAATTTCACGAGGTTTGTTAGTTAGTGTGAAAGTACTGTATGATCTCACCCAGGTTTGCCAGAACGTATACAACCCCGAGGCGACATTCAAGTTTCAAGTATGTTTATTGAGATAAGAAAGAAATACATCCCAAAAGGGATAGAGTAGCTTAGGCTATTTCTACCCCCCCCCCCCTCAAGGCGACATTCTGCATCTATGTTACCAGTCTTCAAAAAACTCTCGACAAACACTTGTTCTCCGAGCTTGTCAATTTCCATCCAGCTCTCTATGGCCTTACATGTGTCAGCTAATGACACCTCCAGTTGTTGTACGAATCTCTCTAGAACCATTCAGCTGGCTGGGGGGGGGGGAGGGAGGGGGGAAGCTGGCGAGCACACTGGCCGCAGACAGGTGCTCAGTGCTCACACCGCGTTCACATTAGTGCTCATTTCTACCGTGACTTGGATATATATACATATATATGGATGCAGATACTTCAGAAAAACTCTCGTAGCCGCTTTCTCAAATGAAGGAAGACTCGTTCAGGTATAAGTCCTTATAAAGACGATGTACTTAACACTTAATCACACACACACACATGATCTTACTTGATTTAGTTTGGGAATGCATATCACGATTTGAATATGGAATTAAAACTCGTGTAAACATGTAGATCTGAGGACGCAAATATGTGCTAGTTTCATAGGCGAGCCTCAAAGCAAATATTTGTTTTTAGAATTAGTTTAGTTTACAGTTAGCAGTTTACACATCTAGACCATCATCCCAACCTCAAAAGAAATCAAATATACCGGTCAATTTTGCTAAGCACATGCACAGATAAAATGCACACTGGTCCTCTGGCTCAAGTGGAGAATTAGGACGAGGATTGATCTAGCGAGGAGACAAGCCACAGGTATTCGACTTTTCCTTTCAACGCACAGCGCCACCTTGTCTCAGGACGAGAGGTGCAGCTCGACATGCGCCTGTGTACGGTGCTAGTGCAGGGGCTCGGGACTTTGGTACGATCCCCCAGGTACGTATGAGTAGGGGCTCGGGAGCCAGGTACGACCCCCCCCCCCAGGTACGTATGAGTAGGGGCTCGGGAGCCAGGTACGACCCCCCCCCAGGTACGTATGAGTAGGGGCTCCGGAGGCAGGTACAGACGCACCCACCTCCCCTCCCCCACATTCCGCAGGTGTAAAGGGGGCTTCGGAGGCAGGTATGTACTCCAGTACGCAGGTGTTGGGGGGTTCTGGATGCAGGGATACGGACCCCAGGTACGCAAGTGTAAGGACTGGGGGAGGGAGGGGGCTTGGGTGTTGGGTACTCAGGCCCAGGTGGGGCTCCCTGCGCGTGTTCACCGCCTGTCACCCTTACCGCTCTCCCCCACGGCTAACAACTACATTTTGTTTTGGTTATGATGGGGAAGTTGTCAGTGTATCATGACAATAACACATGCACTCCGTAGCGGGGAGGGGGGAGGGGGGGAGAAGGGCTCGCTACACACAACACCGTGCCTCATTACTAAGTTCACACACACACACACACACACACACACACACACACACACACACACACACACACACACACACACACACACACACACACACACAACATAGGGTTCACGAGTGAGGTAACACATAAAACACTTGTTTCAGCACTGGGGGCGATACACAACACTGTGTTTCACAGTCGGAGTGACACACACAATACGATGTTCCACCCATGGAATGATGGTCGTCAGTGTTTCACCAGTGGAGTGACATATATAATACAAGATTACGATTGAAGGTAGACACACGCATACACACACACACACACACACACACACACACACACACACACACACACCACACACACACACACACACACACACACACACACACACACACACTTACACACAACACACAACACAACAGAGGTTTACCCTACGAGTGACAACACAGTTTTTATATATTAACTACTTAGGCTTCACATCCAAACACATACACCAAAATGAAACTGAAGGCCACACAAACTCCCAGGCAGTAATTCTTGAAACATGACGTAAGCTCAGACTACAAGCATTATGTGAGGACAGCTCATGACTCGAAATTAATTCACAGGGACAGGGATTGGATGTGGGTAAAAATTGGATTTAGGTAGGAATGGGAGGGGAGTTAACTTAAGCAAACAGTGTCCAGGCGACTAAATGAGAGTGAGGGCGACCAGGAGGACATATAACACTAACCTACTTTCAGCCTGGCCTACGCCAAGTCCCAAGAATCGATTTCAAACCAAAAAATAATAACGAGAATGTCGACACTCAATTAGCAGGCCAGAGACTACACGAGAATACTCATCGACTGCCACACACACGCTGACGACTAAATGCTCAGTTTACATATCACTAGCCTAACCACTGACTCTTTCTAACTGTTATGATTCGCTAACATAGATCGAATGATAAGGATTGCACTGAGCCTAGTATTAGACCACAAGCACTGTGACCCCGGAGATATGCAGTTGCAAGTCATGATGCACATATATCACAGTTAGACAACAAACACTAAAGACAATGAATCAGTACTGCTGAAATTAGTTTCAGTTACACCAGCATGACACTAGGTTGTATGGAAGTGGGGAAGAGGGAGGGGGGTGTGGGAAACAGGCTTGCCTGCGGAGGGGAGGGATTGGGGTAGGGGAGGGATTGGGGTAGGGGTGGGGTTGGGGGGAGGGATCACATCAGCCACACCAATGACGTAAATAATGACGTCAGTGCCACGTCACAAGATGACACCCGTTTCCATATAAAAGTATGAACTGAGTGAACGGCTCACGTCACGAGAATAACAACTAAATACACCACAACGCGGTCCAACTCCACAACATCAAACATGACAACTTAAAGATTCCCAGCGACTACCGAGACGAAGGGGTAGGGGGGGGGGTGATGGAGGAGGTGGGGGGGTGTGATGGAAGGGGGTGGGGGTGTGATGGAAGGGGAGGGTATTTGTGCTGCAATGGGTCGAGGGAAGTTGTGGGATGGTTGAGAGGTGGGAGGGGGTAATGGTCGGAGGGAGGGTACTGGGTAAGGCATGCAATGGAGGCAGAGCACGAAGGAACTGGGAAGAGGGGGAGGGAGGGAAGCAAGAGGGAGGGAGAGAAGCAGGAGCGAGAGAACGAAGCAGGAGAGAAGAGAGAGGCCAAATAGGAAAATATTAAGAGGGAAATTTTAATTGAAAACCAAGAATATCAGGAGCGAAGGGTGCTATCAGGGTGAAGGATGGTATCAGGGTGAAGGATGGTATCAGTATGATGGATGGCATCAGGGTGAAGAGTGGTATCAGTATGAAGGATGGTACTAAGGCGACTGAGAGCACCTGGGTATCGGGAGAGTTTAAAACGGGAAATTACTGTTGAAGGGAACTATCAGGAGAAAGTGCCAAGCCATCACGACTATAGCACTGGGAAGGGATCAGGATAAGGATTTGGGATGGGACGGTGGGGGGGGGGGGGGAAGGAATAATGCCAAACCACTTGGACGGTCGGGGGATTGAACGCCGACCTGCAGGAAGCGAGACCGTCGATCGACCGTCTACAAGAGGGGGGCAGGAAACACATTGTTATTTAGGAAGGAAGGGTGGGGTCGGGGGCTGACGGAGGACAGTATGGAAAGAGAGAGAGAGAGAGAGAGAGAGAGAGAGAGAGAGAGAGAGAGAGAGAGAGAGAGAGAGAGAGAGAGAGAGAGAGAGAGAGAGAGAGGGGGGGGAGGGGGGCTGCAAGAATGGGGGGGTTGTAAGAATGATGGGGCAAGGGAATTCAAAGGGCAAGAAACGCGATTGAAGAGTTGACGGGGGAAGCTAGGAAGCTGGATGCTTGGTTGAGCAAAGGAATGTACCCTTAGCTGCATATTTTTGTTTTCAGATAAACTTACCCATATGCGCAAATCTTAAAATACTCGAAAACAAATCAATGTATTAGTTTTTCTTTGTGAATGAGAAATGCGGAGAAAACGAAAACAGTTTATAAAAATAATAATGCTCCATATAAATAATTTCATATTAATTAAACCCTGGTGATATTAACGCAGATCCTGAAATTTGGATAAAAAAGTCACCGCTTTCTCTACTTTCTTATAGTTTTTGGATGAAAATGCAATTATTCTCATGCGGAATGATGCACACAACCCCCAAATGTGTCTATAGTTAAGAACCTTTTTATGTTTAATAACACCTACCTTCGAATTTGATAACATTAGCCGAGAGGTCAGTTATTGTTAACATTTTGTTGAATTTATAAGCAGAACTCACTGTTCTTGAGGGTTGCTGTGTTGCTAAACATCAACTGACAAAAGTCACAGTATGATTCTGTGTGCCCTTATATGTCAACTGACGTGTGGCGCAGTCTAAGGGTTAACAGGTTAGGAGTTATTGCTGGGTAGATGTCTGTGGGTGAGGATAGTTGACAAGGCAGGCGCTTGGTTTCAGGGGTTTCTGCGTGAGGGTATTTGATTGGAGGGGAAGGAAGGTTGGGTGGGTTGGGGTGGGGATTGGAGGCGCTGGTTTGCATTAGGAGGGTGGGGGCAGTACTCTGTGTGTGCACATCAACACACTACCGCCTAATGTAGCGGAATGTTAAGTCCTTCTGCGAGTTGCCAGTCAACTAAGGAACACCATGATGCATGGAGGAACAAAGTCACGTACACAAAACACGGAACACCGGAGTGTACACCTGAACACCGGAACATGGAGCACACTGTGGGTCACACGGCGAGGCAGCCAGGGGCACCTTGACGCCGCCGGCAGCGTGGAAGAGAGTACGGGACTCACCCTGTGGCGACACATGGGACTAACCCTATGGCGACGCACGGGGCTAACCCTATGGCGACGCACGGGGCTCACCCTGTGGCGACGCCGCCCCTGCCGGTTCAGGAAGCGTAGTGGGAGTGACTAGTGAGGACTACCCTGCGGCTGCGGTGGGTACCCTCTGACTCGGGACTCAGCCCGGCCTCTGCTGCTGCTGGACTAAGAGGTTGTGCGGCAGGCTGACTCAGGCACAGCCGCACTCTGTGACAATCATGTCATCCCAGTAGGTCGTGGTCAGCTTGCCCTGGTCGTTGAAGTGCAGGATGTGCAGCCCTTTCAGGGCCGTAGGGGCGCAGCAGGGCCGCGGGATATTTTTCTTGTGTTTCAGTTTTATGAGAGACTGTAGCAACGCGTGCTCGTTGGCCGGGTTGAAGCGGGGCGGGCACCTCCCGCTGCAGTAGAAAGCGTCGAAATTGGCGGGAGATTCTACAAAATCGAAGTCGGGGAGGTCTTTGAAGCGCACCTTCATGGAGCGCCGACAACAGCGCGAGCGGCGAGGGCGGCCGCTGGAATTCATGTCGCGACAATCGCCGCGTCTCCGCCATGTGGCATCGGTGGCCCGTTTCATTTGAGGAGACCTCTTCATTCTCCGCCCCGCCGGCACCTGAGTCTGCACGTCCAGCGTGGGCACATAGGTGGTGTTGGAGGAGTTGGCACCTGTGTGGATGGTGACGCCAGCGGCACCGCAGTCAGGGCACTGCACCAAAACGCCAGCGTCGTCCCGCGGCGTACCCAGCCAATCCCGCACAGTGTCCGTCACGTCCACGGACAACCACTCATCCCCGGCCACGGACACGTTGAGAGACTGGATCAAGACGGGCTCCTGCTTGCGGCGACGGCGCTTGCGATTGAGGTTGTTCATCTGGTAGAGGGTGACGGTAACGGTGTCGTGGGCCGGGTCGTGTGGCACCGGCCCGCCGGTCTTCCACAAGCGACACGTGGCCTGCTTGACGTCGTGATCGTGGTGGTAGACGCGTCGCACCGGCACCGCCACGTGGAAGTGCACCACCTGGCCCTCCACGCCCGCGCTCCGCCGTCCTCCTGAAACACAAATCAACCATTAATATACATTCCACGCCTCCACTACCCACCAGCACCTGGCACTCTCACCACCGTCTCTGCATTGCCAATCAACACCTGTCAGCAACTGGAATTGGCGCACTACTCAACCCAACACCTGGTATCGGTTCACTGTAGAATACAGCAACACAAAATTCATTCTTTGTTTTTTTTTCAATAATGAAAATGTGGCAGGAATTAAAAATAACACCGTGAATCCGAAAAGGTTGGGCAGGGAAGGGAATTATCAGGGGGAAAGTGATAAGCCATTATAAATGTATAGCGCTGGGAAGGGGTCAGGATAAGGATTTGGGATGGGGCGGGGGGAGGAGGGAGGAATGGTGCCCAACCACTTGGACAGTCGGGGATTGAACGCCGACCTGCATGAAGCGGACGGGAGAACGAGACCGACGCTCTACCGTCCAGCCCAAGTGGTTGGGCGAAAAGGTTGGGAACCACTACACTCTGATTCTTTCACCCTGATGCGTCTGTTCACCTAGCAGTAAATAGGTACCTGGGAGTTAGACAGCTGCTACGGTCTGCTTCCTGAAGATGTATATTAAAGATAAATATATATAGTACATATGATAGAGGAAAACAGGTCGGGAGACGAGCACCGCTCCTGTGCCAGGTAAGTCCACTACGGGCTCACCATAGCCTGTGCTACTTGCCCCGCTCCTGTACCAGGTAAGTTACGGGCTCACCATAGCCCGTGCTACTTGGAACTTGTTCCGAGTAGTTGAATCTATAACAACAACAACAACAACAGGTCGGGAGCCAGTACATTAGACAACCGACGGCTAAGAAGGCGGGGTCCAAGAGCTAACTGCTCGATCGTAAAGGTACAAAAAGTACATATAGAAGCCCCACCATACATTAACCAAGCCACTAATACGCTGTGCGTATTAGTGGCTGTAGGCATAGTATACTACCTCTATCTAGAACTCCAACACCCTGCTCGTAAATCATTTTGTATATATATATATATATTATATATATATATATATATATTATATATATATATATATATATATATATATATATATATATTATACACTTTTCCCTAAATAAGCATTATTATCATTTTTGTATAATCATGCAAATCATTACGTTTGCATCACGCAATTGTGATTTCTGTGTGTAACGTCAGCAGTTTCATCATCTATCTGTTGATGCAATCAAAATACCAGTCATTCACAGCCCCGAATATTACATATGTATATCTTACATATTATATTATCTTTATTTATAGAAACATGTACAATTTATAAAATTATTGTACTATAATTATTATATTGATTAGAATTTTACTTTAGTTTGCCCAGAATACGTTTACATCTTCTGTGATTGTTTATCATAAAGCATGTATAAAAAATATGATTTTAGGGTAACGTCGATAATCTTAGATTACATATAATAATTCACACAAGACAGGCATTAAAACATATACGGTCATTAGGGGAGGCCTTATACCATATACATAATACAGAACGCTCAAGGCACGGACACACTGGAAAGGTTTCATAGCCTATCTGCGATAGGTAACAAACTTTTACGCATAAGTAACATTGATTATACAGAATGGTAGAGTTTGTTTAGGGGAATTTTCTTGGGGAGGGGATGTGAGAGTGACTCACGAGATCACATCTGGTCCAGCTGCCATACTTTACCAATGGGGTCTGTGTCAGAGAGCGAGAGAGAGAGGAGAGAGAGAGAGAGAGAGAGAGAGAGAGAGAGAGAGAGAGAGAGAGAGAGAGAGAGAGAGAGAGAGAGAGAGAGAGAGAGAGAGAGAGAGAGAGAGAGCGAGAGAGAGATAGAGAGAGATGAGAGAGAGAGAGAGAGAGATATAGAGAGCGATAGGAGAGAGCGAGCCAGGAACTGGGAGAGCGATCAACGGACTTCCTCTAATTTCCTGAGACTGTCCTGTAAACGGTGTAAACTGTAGCAGGATCAGGGGGGATCATCCCAACAAATATCAGCACCACCAAGACATGACCAACCAGTCCATTCTCGTCATTTGCCACAACGTACAAAATGCAAAGCTAACCAGAAACGCACGAACCCAAGCCACCCACCTAACCTACTGTAACATAGAAAACGTCGATATTTGTGACCAGTTATTTTTCATAGTACATAGTATAGTTCATAGTACATAGTTACTGTTCATAGTAGAGTCCACTACCACTCTCAGGATGTGTATGGGAGTCCACTACCACTCTCAGGATGTGTATGGGAGTCCACTACCATTCTCAGGATGTGTATGGGAGTCCACTACCACTCTCAGGGTGTGTATGGGAGTCCACTACCATTCTCAGGATGTGTATGGGAGTCCACTACCACTCTCAGGATGTGTATGGGAGTCCACTACCACTCTCAGGGTGTGTATGGGAGTCCACTACCATTCTCAGGATGTGTATGGGAGTCCACTACCATTCTCAGGATGTGTATGGGAGTCCACTACCACTCTCAGGATGTGTATGAGAGTCCACTACCACTCTCAGGATGTGTATGAGAGTCCACTACCGCTCTCAGGATGTGTATGAGAGTCCACTACCGCTCTCAGGATGTGTATGAGAATCCACTACCATTCTCAGGATGTGTATGGGAGTCCACTACCACTCTCAGGATGTGTATGAGAGTCCACTACCGCTCTCAGGATGTGTATGAGAGTCCACTACCATTCTCAGGATGTGTATGGGAGTCCACTACCACTCTCAGGATGTGTATGAGAGTCCACTACCACTCTCAGGATGTGTATGAGAGTCCACTACCACTCTCAGGATGTGTATGAGAGTCCACTACCACTCTCAGGATGTGTATGAGAGTCCACTACCGCTCTCAGGATGTGTATGAGAGTCCACTACCACTCTCAGGATGTGTATGAGAGTCCACTACCGCTCTCAGGATGTGTATGAGAGTCCACTACCGCTCTCAGGATGTGTATGAGAGTCCACTACCACTCTCAGGAGGAGTATGAGAGTCCACTACCGCTCTCAGGATGTGTATGAGAGTCCACTACCGCTCTCAGGATGTGTATGGAGTGCATAATAAACAAACGAAACTAAACTATAGCATTACACAAACCCGTATTCAATCCTCCGTGCTCCAGGAAGAGTGATCATCAAAGCCTAATATCTGGAAAGATCAAACATGGAGCAACAATGGCCGCGCTCCTGGCTTCAAAGTTTATTTTTGAACAAGTATTTTTTTTTTTTTACTTCTACAAGTTTTTTTTCTTCGTTCCCCTCCCGTAGGAGATAAAGCCAGAATTCTCTGAGTTTGGTTTCGGGGTCAAGCCCAAATGTTTAGCTGGTCAGAGGCGAGGGATGAAGGGGAAATATCAGGGGGAAAGTGCCAAGCCATTCTGACTACACAGCACATGGAAGGGGTCAGGATTTGGGATGGGACGGAGGGGGAAGGAAAGGTGCCCAACCGCTTGAACGGTCTGGGGATTGAACGCCGACCTGCAGGAGGCAAGACCGTCGCTCTACCCTCCAGCCCAATGGGAGTAACTCGCCAAGGAAATGAAGAGTTCTGGGAGGGGCAAGATGGAGGCGGTGAGAGAAGATGGAAAAGGTAGTATGGTAGAGAGCATGGAGTTTTGAAACCATCCGTCGTATTAAGTTTTAATCCTAGGATATATTTATGTATCAGTCCGTCCCTCCTAAAGGTTCCCAGCGTCTAGACAAACGGCCAGTTTTAAGTGTCCTCCCCTAGCCTACCAGAGGACACAAATCACAAAACAGGACAGTATACGTCCTCGTTCGCCAGCCGCTTCCATTTTCGAGTACGACAATATTTGTTCTTGTGTAACGCATGCGACTGATATGGAGGCTAGAGTCACTCCCGCAGGCGTCCAAGTAAAATTTCCTCTCTGAAACAAAGCTCGTGAATCGTTTTGTTGATAAACCAAAATCATTAATACTCAACTACATTGTTGTTGTTGCCATTTGATAAACATATATTTGTTGTCTTTTTCAGCATCATTGTAATTTAAAAAACACACAATATTAACAAAATAACCCCCTTTTTAACATTTCATATTTCTGTCATTATACTAAGGAGTGAGCACACAGGTAAAGGAGTGAGTGTGTTCTGGTCGTAAGCGACGCTGGCCAAGGGTATAAAAGGCTGGTGATGGGTATAAAAAACATATATTGGTTAGCATCGGTGGTCAATATTTTGATGGTGAGCTCACAGGTGGTGGTGGTGGTCGCCCAGTATATGCCGCCCCCCTTCACAGTCTACTAATTGTAGACTGTGGTTCAGTACTGAGTGTAATATCTTAACATACTAAGAAGGTTAGGTTAGGTTGTGGTTTTCTATTCAGCTTTTCAAGGTAAACCTCATATATTCACAATAAATTAGTATGTCACATATGCACTTATTCATAAGCAAGATATTGACTATAAGCAAGTGCGAGAACGCACAGTTCCCAGCCTCCCTCTGTTTACACCCGTGACGTCAGTGCTCGCCCTGGATGCCTGACACATACACACACACACTTAATTATCTACGTGTATATGTGTGTGTGTGTGTATAAGTGTGTGTGTGTGTGTGTGTTTGGTCGGTACTACGTTTTAAAAAGCGCCTGTAGCTCCCATCATTCAGCGACGCACAAGATCAGTAGTTCACTTAGGAGGCTTAAATACGAGTTTCCGGAGTGGGGTCTGGGTGATATTGGCGCGTGATTGTGGTCTCCTAATATCCCCCCCTCTCTCTCTGGCCATCCCAAACTTTGCCCCTAATTGAAGACAAAGGGAGCGCTGCCAACGACGATGATAGATGAATCATATCATGCTCCCGATACACACACTAAAAAAACTAAACAGTTTAATTCCAGCCTTTCATCTCGGGTATCGGATAAACAGATTCTCCGAAGTGAAACGCGTTCACGGAGAAGAACGGGTACGCGAAGCGGGTCGGGAAGATGGGGGAGAGGGTGGGGAGGCTGGGGATTGGGGTAGGGGGCGTTGGGAGGG